TACTACATGTAACAAAATAAATTAACAGTGTTAAAGTCAGGGGAGAAGTTCAAGAAAATACACAGTATAATACCATTTTCCTGAGGTTTAAAAAATAAAAAAACTAAACTACACAAATACTGTTAAGGACTCCAACTTATTTGATGAAACTATAAGAAATAAAGGGTGGGGTGACCACAAATAAAACCCAGAGAAGGTGGTTTCTTCTGCTGGGGGAGGCTTGGTGGGCCAATGGATAGCGAAGAGGAGGATACTGGGAAGTCTGGTCATATTCTAGTGCTTATTTTGTTATCATGCTTCATCACTTCTATGTGTTAAATACATTATGCATCAGGTATTGCCTATATTTTTTCTTTAAAAATGGTAACACAAGTTTAATGTTTCCTGACAAACTGTAAGACTAGAGTCATAAAACGCCATCTCTCTAGACCAGCTAATGAATAATTATCTATTAATCTGTTATCTTAAAAGCACAATCCTTACCCAACAAGAATAAACTATGTACAGGTTCTATATACCATGCACGGCATGTGGGGAGCATGCACATGACCTTTGTAATGTCAGGTCACTGGGACGGGGCAGCCACTGGTGTCGGGATGCACAGAGTTTAATACCATACAGATATGATACAAAAGTGACAGAAGTGCTGGTAAGTCAACTACGGTACTAAAAAGGCCAGTAAAACTCTACTCCATCCCAAAAGTATTTGTCTTGGGTCATCTCTAATGAACCTAGAAGAGTCAGCATATTTCACAGGGGCTAAATAAAACTTTTTAAAAGGTTAACGGAAAAATATTTATGTGAAAAATGCCTCCAAATAATCTTTTAGTGGGTGGATTCGGCACATACCAGTGAATACCTTTGAGCTCAGTCCAATTTTGAATTAAGCTAGAGTTCACCTTTGAGAAACAATGAACCTGTTTTTAAGTAAAACTCGGTATTAATAAGAAACAGGGAATGTGAATACAAAAAAAAAAAGATATTATCAACTGAACTATATCTAAGTATTTTACAAAGTTTTCCATGAGCCGTCAGTAGATCTTTAAAACGCATAATCTTTTCTAAAAAGTTGTTCGTCATTCATCTGTAAAAACCTCGCTTTTTATGTGTATGCCAAGCGTTAAATTGCCCCGCGCTGGATTTAACACGAGCCTCACGTTACAGGGCGACGTGCTCTTGCCCTTCAACATGACTATGACAGTGACTCACAAGGGGAAAAACACACTGCGAACAGCCTGCCTCCAACTGCAATCCGGGCCGATGAGGAGAGCCTGGGAAGCCGGCAAAAATTAGGTCCATGCTTTAAATCTGCAGGCAATCAAGGCAGGAACCAGGCTATGTAATCACAATCACTTGCAAGACCATTTCAACTATTTTTCAGCTGTAATTGTTAGCAGTTTCTTAGGACTGTAATCTTTAAAATAATATCTTCCACCAAAAAAATAATAACGTCTCCCACTTCAAAAATTAAATGCACATGGACATGAACTTTGTCTACTTGGAGTTAGGTACCAGCTGTGCCACGTTAAAACTCTCTTCTTTCCCCTTTCTAATTCTGCCTTCCTTTCTTTTTTCTTAACTTTTGTACACTATAGTTCCATGTTAATTTCATATTTATCCAAATAATGGCTGGCTAAATATTTTATCTCATCAACTATAATCTGTGCAGGAAGGTAGAGTTTCACAAAGAAAACAAAGTGAAGAGCTTCTTTATGATGACATTTTGTGTTTTATAAAGTAGTATGTTACCTTTTCAGATGTTATTCAAGGAAAGCTCATCGTTTTACAGAGATTAAAGAGTCTCAACATTTAAACTGCTATGCACAACTCTCAACAGAGCACACGGAGTAGCCAGACGCACAGTGAGAAGCCGGGGGTCAGACACCCAGTCAGCGAGGCAGCCGCCCGGCAATCTCTAGTTCCTGTCTCCCCCTCACCTCACCTCACCTCCCCACCCCCGTGCCATCCTGAGAAGGTCCTGCTCTCCCACCTGCTGCAAAACACGAGCACAGGTGTTCGTCACAGAAACCACTGAGGGCAAACTGTCAAACTCCGGGAACTAAGTAGAAGAGAATTTACCCTAAATGTTACCATCATACATGAATTTAAACTGAATTTAGGTAATGGAGTCATCACTTGAGGGATCAGTTCCTAAGAAGAGACCGACCTTTTCCTAGTGCTATCTTTAAGTAGCTGCGAGCTGGCTCCAGAGGATTTGCGGCGGTGTGTGTGTGTCGGGGCG